TGCTAATAAATAATAAAATATACATTCATGAAACTATACTAAAATATAATAATAAAATTCGTTCTATAACAATATACATGTCGCTTTACAAAACATAATAAATCTAGTACTTGGAAGAATATAATTCCAAGTAATAAACAGTGTAAAACCAAAGTTCATCTACTCAACATATGCTTTGCTAAGATTAAAGTGTTACAATTCATTGTAGAGGCAAAAGTGCATGTAGAATGTTTTAAAGATTCATCCAATCATACTCATACTTTAGAAGAGATTGAAAAAATTAAATATTCTCAGGTTATTTGAAATTTGGTTAAGCAGAAAGCTCTTAAGGATTATTGTCCATCAGCAATTCTTAATGTAGTAAAAGAATATGCGAAAGAGAACTTAAATTTGGATGAAAGTGTAAAGTAACTAAGGCATAAAGAGGTTACTAACATTAAGTACAAAGTTCATAGATCTCTTGATGCTCATTTAATTAGAAACCCTAAATAAATATTAGATATTCAAGAATCAATCTCTTTTTTAGAACAACAAAAGTATAATGTTGTGTTCTATAATATTTTACATAATTTTTCTTATGGCTTAGTTTTTATGAATCAAAATCAAATTGATAACTTTGAAAAATATAGATGGTTGACCTTAATGGATTCAATGTATAAGACTAATCGATATGATTATTGTTTGTTTATTTTATATATACGTAACACATATGGATGTTGGGATGTTGGTGCTCACTTTTTTGTGAACAAAGAAGATGGTATCACTGTTGCAAAGGCCTTAAAAAGAATTCAACAGTTTGCACCTTATTGAAAGCCTAGATACATTCTTCAAAACCAGAGTAGTATAGAGGAAAGTAGCATTAGGTTGGCTTTTCCAGGTCTCAACAATGGTGAACAGGAATGCGATATAATATATTATACTATACACATTATATAAACTTGGATGAACAGAATATATGATTATAAAACTTGACAGATAATGATCCAGGCTATGTATAAAAGAATTAAAATTGGTTGTGGGCTTTAGTTCAAAAAGCAATCCATGAATGTTCAGTTCCTACCATCTGACAATACATTTTAAGAAATTATACAAAAAATTTTTATCAATGGGCACTATGGGCCTGCATGCATTCTCCCTTACTCTTGCAGGTTATATCAACAAATTCTTTGGAATTCTACTATTCTGAACTAAAAGAACAACCTCACCAACTTATAGTTTAATTGGTGTGTATTCCAGAGGTCATTTTTATATATTTTTTAGAAAATATTGTTTGCACCAGATTTTTTTCTCTGATGACTTTGGGTCGTATTTTTTTGAAAACTTTTTTTTTTTGATTCTTTTTTTTTTTTTTTTTTAATGTTTTTTTTTTTTCAAACTTTTTATTCGAACTTTTTTTTTTTTTAAAAACATATATTTATTAATCTGATGAACATATAATACATATAAGCTACAAAAAAAAAAAAGGCTCGAGAGTAGACAAGAGAAAATTATAATATCAGCAAGGCATATTTTATGAAAATATAATTAGGTAAATTCTCTTTAATATTTATAAAACTTAATAATCTGTTTAATTGGAATACAAATGCTCAAAAGTTGCATACAGTTGAAAATATATTAAGTGCAGTATCAGAGAACAGAATGAAGCTTTATTAAAAATTGCTTAAAGGTTTGTTGGCTTGTTCAATAGTAAGTTGAAAACCTATAAAGGTAAGGAATTACAGATCCTATGTCACAGTTATGTTTGGTAGCATATGAATATCATGTTTTATAAAAAATTATATTTGCTTAAAATTGAAAAAAAATGAATAGTTTACTATACTGGTTATGACTGATGTTAAACCTGAAGCTTTTGTTCTGTAGTCAACACCAAGTTTTTCAGGAAAAGATACCCACATCTTTGTTAGATGAAATCAGTAAGGCAAGTGGAAAATAATAACGAAAGCCACACAAAAAGTTGTTATAAAGTGAGCTCAATAAAGATGAATTTCTTAAACATTTCAAAGTTTGTGTAAGTATAAAACGAATTAAAAGGTTTATAAAATAGCTTATGCTTAGTATTTTCTATGCTTAATATATATATTGATTTGTATTTCTCAGAAGGCTGTCAGAAAAGCCTAATTTTAGTGGCAAGAAAGTTTTACATATGCATGAAGTGAATTTTAGCAATGGTAATAGTTACAAGATTAATATGGATAAATTACAAGTAATGGAGGAAATAAGAACAGTATGAAAGGCATTCTATAAACCCACCAATGTACAATGGCTATGAAGGTTTTTTTTTTTTTTTTAATAATAAAGTATTCTTTTAATAAAATATTTTGGTTAATAAAGAATTTGGAACAAATATTTTAGAAAATCTGCTTGAACTTGATAAAGCAAATCAAAGATTAATGAAGCTGGATATTCTCTATACATCCAAGAGTGAATATATTGTAAATTTTTATAAAGCTTTTTTCATTAAATCTTGTATACTTTATTGTATGGAACATACAGATGCTGGATCATTAGAAAGTTATACAGAAATAAAGTTCTGTAAGTTATTTACCATTAATAATTTTTTTTTATATTAATAAAAAATTAATTTATAATATTTATAATCATGATTATATGGTAAAAAAGTTGTAGTATGTAATCTTTATATAAAATACATATGAGTGCCATCAAAGGAAAACCTATAATCTGGCTTTCAATTATATTTGGTGCACAGTTGGCCATCTATTGACAGTCTATCACACAAAATATAATTTAAAGTCAGATCATAGACTGTCGACAGATGGTCAATTGTGTACAAAATACTGTATAATTAAAAGCCAATTGTAAGTTCTCCTTTGATGGCACTTATATGTAGTATATAATATATATACATTTTTTTTTTGACATAAAAAGAAATGATGACAAACTAAATTTATTTTCTTGTTATAGTAACACAAAGAAACCTAGACTTTGGGGCTTTTAAACTTATAATTTATCGGAATCAACTTTACAGATTTTTTAAAAGTAAGTTACAAGTTTAAAAATTTGAATTTTGTTTTTTTCTTGGCATCACTTAAGTGTTTTATAACTTTTTACATATTATTTACTTTAAATTATCTAGTATTGGTCATAATTATTGACACTTCTTGTAACTATAAAGAAGGATATACAAGAAAAAAACAATATACTGTTATACATATAAGGTATAGCTTGAAACATGTTCTGATTACAAAAAACATAAATGAAGTAAGTAAATTTGGTTGTATACCATGAATATTGATTTATATTTCTATAAGTTTAGTAGTTGCATGCAACTAAAGAATAATTAATATAAATATGTAGGTTAAGAAACTACAGCAAATAAGTATTTAAAAACTTTAAGTATATGAAAAATATGCAATATTTCAATCTGATGATCTTTAGAAAAATGGATGAGTCTATGTTGCATTAAAGAACATGAACTTAAAACAGCAACTTACAATAATGTAATAAAATAGGTTCCTTTTAGCAAATTAGATAATATTTAAGCAATGTGATTAAAAAAAAATGGATCTTTTTCTTATTAATTTAGTTAACAAGTTGGCTTTTTTCCTTAGGCCGAATCTGAATGTTATCTTTATTTATTATTTATTCTTTTATTTTTTTATTTATTTATTTTATTTTAATTTATTTTGATTTAATTTTATTTTTTTTTTTATTTGATGATTATGTGTTATTTCTTGTTTTTGATAGCTTTATTCTTTCAGTTTTATCTAATTATATATATATATTTGCTTCTAGGGGCATGTAATAGAGTAGCTACACTTGATTAGAAAAAACATTCAGATTCAGAGTATATTGGCTTTGAATTTTATATTAAGAAAATTTCAGTTGTGGGTTTAGATTCTGAAATTCTTGATGAGCTGCATAAGTTTCCTTTTTCTATCCAACAACTTCTTGCTGATGAAGCTTGTGCTATGAAAAAAAGAATTGAAAATGGTAAAGCTGCACCAAGATTAACATCTCTTGACTGTTATTGTTGGTTTTGTTTTCGGTATTTATTACTCTATCACCACATTTTTCATGAGCATATGTATGGTGCTACAAAACTGTTAACAACTGATGCTTGAAAAAAATTTCAGAAGTTGTTTGAGAAGTGCAGTTTTGATATTTATATGCATGGTAAGATGGTTGAAGTATACACATCAGAAAAGGACAAAGCCAGAAGTGCATCAGAAAATCGAAGATTGATAGTAAATGAACTTATAGAAAGAACTCGAGATGTTTATTAGAGAATTAAAGAAAAAGATGATGATGAGCAAATGGGTACATTTATCAAGAACTTAAAGTCCTGTTTAGAGTCTATTTTAGATAATACGAATATGAAAATACTTATATCATAGAAATTTTATTATAAGAATATGAGATTTTGAATAAATAGTTTTTTTTAGAATTAAATATAAGATCATATGAATTTATCTAAGATATCATAAACAAATATATAATTGGTATCTGCATGAAATTTATAATTTTACTTATATTGTCTTACAACTTGAGCATTCAAATTTCATCTTTTTAGTATAGATGTCTTGCTAAATTTATTAATTTTAAGGTAAATTTAAATTTATTTGTAGGTAAGTGTAATTAGTTATCTATTTAGAATAGGCACTTTAAATGTATAGTGTTTATTATATTTATTTTATCATTCTTTGCTATTAATTTAGTAGTTATGATTTGAATAATACCCAAATTAAAAACTTGGAAACAAATATTCAAGTTTTGATATAATGAATTAATTGTATTTGTGATTTAATATGTTAGTATTACAATTGTTAAGAGTTAAGTTCACCTTAGTAAAAACTAAATATTTACCTGATTTTAACTTAGAGGTACTCATTTATTCATTGATTTATTTAAATGCTCAGATATATAATGCATACTAATTTTATATTAATCTGTTAATAGATACTAGAAAAATAGATATTAATATTTGAAGCTAAAATATATTTTTTATACAAAACATTTTGTTAGGTCATTCTGTGTTAATTTCAATTGCTTTGCTATAAAGTTTTTGTCATATTTTGAACCATAATGACTATAATGGATATAACAGCTATTTAATAATTATTTTATCTAGACAAGTTTATATTTTGTAATTTTTTTTCTTTTTTTAATTTTATTAATATATATAACAATAATTGGTTTTAATTTATTAAAATAAGTTACGCCATTTATGCTTATTGTATTTGTTAAACTGATTTTATATTTAAATAATCAGATTATAATGCACAAGCAAATTTAATTTTATTTCATTTTTTAAGTTGTTATTGAAACAAATTTTTTTTTTTTATTTATATTGTTATAGGTGAAAGCCTTCTTAATTTTCACACTATAACGACGACACGGCACAGGGAATCCCTTACGGGT